GGCCCTTATACGTGCCACACAACAGATGCACTAGATCCAAACGGGGACTAGAGCAGAACATGGCAGGCGTTATCGGAGATATGCCTAGAGGTGTGGTTGGACGCCTAGGTGTGGGTTCCCGCCCCTGGTCTTCTTGACTTGGTCATGACATCCAGCCCATGTGGGAGAATAAAGTGCTATAAATGCGGCGCAAGTATACTAACACTGCTACTACTATTATAATCTAATTCACGCGCAAGTCACTATCTCTCCACCATCCTGCTGTGGCGCACAAGGTGGACACTGTCGTAAACGACGGTCAAGTTGTCGGAACAGGTTGTCCAGTTATTTCGTAGGATGCAAGGGGATAGCACATAGGGGGAAGGAGGAATAAGAACAAATAAGTTGAGAAAGGACACCCAAACGGAATGAACGGATGACTGAATTTTTGGATGGATCAAATTAGAGCAGTTTGTAATCGTTGGGTATCTTAAGACCGTTTAAACATCCTTCTTGGTGATTCTCTGACCTATATGAGGGAGCCTAAGGCGGCTTTCAAGGAAGTTGCAGGGACTGCATGCAAATTCAAAAGTAAAAGCACAAAAGTATGGATCAACAATCAGTTAGAACTTACCCTTATAAGTGCCACTCTCCAGCAAACGGCCGGCTTTTTCCAGTGCCAGAAATTGTTCAATTCCCATAAACTGATAGTGGACACCGTTAACCTCGTCATGTCTCGGAGCACGCGTAGTACCTCAAAGGCATAATGAAGTAAATTAAGTATTAAGGTGAGCGTGCGCTTCACAGACTAGGCAGATATGTTCTCACAAACTTCTGTCGGTGAGCGGAAGCTCTAGATAGACTTTGGGGAGGTTGTGAGTAGTAACAGTTAGTGCGTATGAACAGCGAAACAGAAATAAAAAGAAGGCAATTCAAACTCACAGGGTACAACACGCTGGTAAATGTTATCCCGAACAACCTCCTGAAGAAGATATTCAGGAGATCCAACCGTGAATGCAGCTGACAGGAAGGGGCCCAAACGACTGTCACTGTTTGGTAACGAAGACAGCGGTATAAGTTTCATCAGTACGCGTGGTCTGTTTGTGAGTTCTTCGCAGTAAGACAGCGCTTCACACACCTTAATTGCGTCAAGCTTAGTGTAACCAGAAACTTGGTGGTCGCCGATTTCAAGAATGACATCACCAGGTCGAAGAATTGAAGCAGTCTTCTTTGGGCCGGACAAAATGGGATGATAAACCAGGCGGGAAGGATTTACTTCGGGTCCAACCACACAAAATTTTCCACAATCAGACCCACCCTCGATTGGTATACGAAGAAATGTGTCCGGTGCTGCGGCAGACAGGAGTACCTCATAAACGCTAGACTCCCAAGTTTTACAGGTGCTTAGGAAGAGACGAGTAGGCACAGTCTGCTTCTCTTCGCTAAACATAGCATGCTGCGTTGTGGGAGTATGCAGTGTGGTTCTGGGCATTACAGTTTTAGGTTCTTTCCTAAACAAAAAGTACTTATAATTAGCATGTATGCACTTTGTGGACGAGTTGGGATTCTAACACATGTAAAGGTGACAGGTGGCATAAAGTGTAAACAGCGGCGTTAGTGTGTTGAAAAATATGCGGCAGACGGGAAAGCTTCTGGGTACCGTTAGAAGAGAGTACACTAGTCGCCGGCTATTAAGCCCACGGCTAATAA